TAAAAGTATCAGAAAGCTAGTCAACTAAAGCAAAAGACAGGCTAAAATTAGCATAGTAGTAGCAAACAAAAGCCAAAGAACAAGCTAAAAGTAGCAGAATGGTAACCAACTAAAGCAAACAAATGGCTAAAAGCTAAAAGTAGCTAACAGTAGGAAAATATTGTCTAAAAGCGAAAAGTAGCAGAATGGTTGACGGCAAAGGCAAAAGATGGCTTAAAGCTAAAAGTAGCAAAAAGTTAGCCAACAATAGCAAAAGACCAGCTAAAAGCTAAAAAGTAGCAGAATTGTAGCCAACAAAAGCAAACCACTGGCTAAAAGCCCAAAGTAGCCAACTAAAGCAGACAAATGGCTAGAAACGAAGAGTAGCACAGTGGTAGCAAACAACTAGCTAAAAGTAGCCAACAAAAGCAAAAGACTGGCTGAAAGCTAAAAGTAGTTAACAGTAGGAAAAGACTGTTTAAATGCAGAAAGTAAGTACTTTACATGTAGCCAACTAAAACAAAAGATTAGCTAAAAGCTAAAAGTAGCAGAGTGGCAGCCAACAAATCAAACAACCGGCTAAAAGCTAAAAGTAGCTAACAGTGGTAAACAACAGTCTAAAAGCTAAAAGTAGCTAAAAGTAGCATGAGGTTGCAAACAGAGAGCCGGTCTTTATTTTACAGGAAACAAAGTCAAAACGACAGAAGGAGCTGAAGGTTTTACCTTTCCCGTTCACCTCGTCGTCTTCGTCCATGAGCCTGGAAGAATCAGAGAAAAGATGAGGTCATCAACCGAAACCAACAGGAAACTGATCACGTTGTTCTTCAGCTCCTGTCGGTCTTTTCTCACATCCTCCTTTAAAACGTCTGAAGCTGCTTCCTGAGTTTCAGCTGCAGATACTGAGGCACATTTGCATTCTTGATAAACTGTGGAGGTCATGTGTGATAACGAGCTCATGCAAACCGGAGCAACCACGGGTTTCTGCGTTTCACTTCTTTGACCAGTGAGGAAATCAGCTGTAAAGGTGCTCAGAGTTTAAAACAGAACCGCCTCCTACCCGCCGCTCTCCTCCATCTCGCCGGCTGTGATCGGCTGCGTCCTGAAGCGCTCGCCGGACTTGCGCCCGCTGCCCGACACGCCAGGAAGGTACCGCCGGGCGCGCCGCCGGCCCCCCTCAGAGCCCGGCTTCACCGCCAGGTCCAGAGAGAACGTGGATCGTCCGGCGTCGAGGCTGCACGGACAGAGGAGGAAGTGATGAAGACGAGTTCCCACAAAGCTGCATCGTTGGGATCACACACATGCAGAATTTACTCTTTGTCCGGCTCCGCTCCGCTCTCCGTCTGCTGCAGGAGGGCGCTTCGTAACTGACCCACCGACACCCGAGTGCGGAGCTGCGGGCCGTCCAGACCCAGACCAGAGTCCTGGCTGCGGGGGAGGAAGAACTCTCAGAAACAAAAAAGAAGCGTTCTCATCAAACCGAGGAGAAAGATCCAGTTCCGAAAGTCTCCTCTCAGAATATACGACGCCTGAACGTCGGCTGTTTTCTCGCACACGGAGCTAAAATTTGGTGCAGCTGAGAGAAACCTTCGCCTGCAAGGGCCGACCAAACTGACGAGGTTCGGCTCCGGCTTGAGAGGCAGCGAGCGATCAGCACTTCAAGGAGTTTAAAGCATTTCTTTTAAAAGGGATGAACGCTGCGGAGACGAGACGTCTGAACGTCGATAATCTTCAAATATAAAATAATACAGGACACGTTTGTTCATATTTTAATAACGTTTCAGGTCTGAGTTGTTGCACGAATGTCAGTTTTAGGTTTTTAAAATCTGATTTCTGTAGTTCTGTGCTGTTGAGATAATCACCTGACTGCACGAAGTTAAGATAAATCGCGCTCTAATCGCTGCTCCACAGCACAAATCCTAAAAACTAAAGAACTCGCAGTTTAAGAATCTGCAGACTTTTGCACAAAACGGTCACTTAATCTTTAAAATGATCGATTTACAGCTAAATCTGTGCTTCGTCTCGTCCGAGTGTCCTCAGATTATTGAGAGGAGCGACCCGTCCTCATTTTACTGACACCACGTCCTCGCGTCGAGTCAGGAGCTGCTTTTACTTTTATTTTTTAAAGGAGATTAACGTCGTTTATTAGACCAGATGAGAAACAACCGTAACCTGAATCAAACAAACAAACAAACAAAAAAAGATCTTAAGCTGCAAAAATAACCACAAACTAGTTTAAATATTTGTTTATTTTAAGCTAAAAACGATGTTTATAATGCTTTTTAATGTAACTCCCTCCACAGTATGAAGTCTGCAACATTTAAAGAGCTGTTTTTAAAACTTCAGTCACTAAATTAAACGTGTTCAGCCTCAGAGCAGCAACCTCCTATAATGATCAACTGCTGGCCCATGGGCACTTTAGGTTTGTTGGAGGAGACTTGTGGCCACTTGGCGCGACAACATAAAGATATTGTGATTTTTAACATTATTGATATTTTTACAATTTAAAACAAATGAAAAGACCAGATTCATGTAAAAGGTGGGGTGTAGTTTTTTTTTTTATTAATAAAAACTATGAACTATGCAGATTTATGTAAACTTTTTTTAATTGTGGAAAAATTAATGAAGTATAGAAATAAAGCATAACGTTGAAGTATGTTTTACTCCTTGTACTTGTTCCAGTATTCCCATATTTGCAACAAAAATGACAGGAAATCTGCTAAAACTGGTCTTTTCTTGTTGTTGTTGTTGTTGTTGTTGTTGTTTGTATAACAACCAATAAAATTCAGTTTAATGTTAGTTTTGGTCAAAGCTTGAAAGAGCCGCTGCGGAGGGACCAAAGAGCCGCAGGGTGCAGAGATTTGCTTTAGGAAAACTCTGAGGAAGTCTGCGGACCCATCAGAGGAAGCCGGCTGAACAAACATTGTGTCATCATTTCAGGACTCTTGGATTCTTTCTGCCGTGGTCCCAGGTCGACCTCGGCACCCCTCGAGAGCGTTTACGGATCTCACCGGAGGGATCTAACGGATTATATCATTCTTATCAGAACGCCTCTGGTGCGTCCTTGGACACGCTCACTGCTCTTGTCGTCTCCCCTGCAGATTGTCTGTGTCACGATGTGCTTATGTGCCGGGTGTTTTTTTCAATCTCAGGCTCTCCCTCCTCGGCCAAGGAGTGAGAGTTTTTAATGGAATTATTTTTGCCTCCAAATCCTAAACGTGTCACTTTCATGACTTTTCGTCTGTCAAACGGGTCGCACTTGTAAACGAGTCTTCGAGGCTCAATGTGATTTATCCGTGTAAATAAAGGTTGAATGAATTTTATCGTCTTAACATTTCTATGCACTGGGTTGTTACAAAGTTAATATTTCAGTTTATTATTTGTTTTAATACTAAAATAATTTAGTTTCTTTAATATTCTGAGACTTTAACAGCTATATGTTTTGTATTAAACGTGTTTTAAATGTTTTAATACAAAAATAATTTAGTTTTTTTTATATTCTGAGACTTTAACAGCTATATGTTTTGTATTAAACGTGTTTTAAATGTTTTAATACAAAAATAATTTAGTTTTTTTTATATTCTGAGACTTTAACAGCTATATGTTTTGTATTAATCGTGTTTTAAATGTTTTAATACTAAAATAATTTAGTTTTTTATACATTCTGAGACTTTAACAGCTATACGTTTTGTATTAAACGTGTTTTAAATGTTTTAATACTAAAATAATTTA